CAAGAACCCCCGCCCTCCCCTCCCTTCCTCCGAGGGCTGGGCACAGGGGCCTGGGATCAGCCAGAAAAGTCAGGCAGCTTTTCAGGGACAGGGAGTGAGGGGAGAGGAGGGGAGAGGAGGTCTCCCCACCTGGCCCCGGCCCGGCCCCTGCCAGCAGCGCAGCGCCAAGCCATGCCCTGTCTATAACTCCGGACTTTGACCCTGCACTCCAGTCCAGGCAGAGGACTGAGGACGGGACACCCCAGAATCAGGAGCCTCCCGTCGGGAGACAGGACCCTGCACCCTCAGCAGCGGCCGCATTTCTCCGGAAGTTTGGCACACCAGGTGAGTGGGTTTTTGTTTTTGTTTGTTTGTTTGTTTGTTTGTTTTGGGGTGAGAGGAACAGTAGAACTTGTGTTCTCCCGGTGTCCACAGAGACGGCTCCACTTTAGAGCCTGTGGCAGGGACCTCAGGTAAGCATCTTCGCCTTTCTAAGCCTCAGTTTCCCCATCTGGGAGATGGGATCCTCACCCGCCTCGTACAGGGTTGAGCTGAGGATTCAAACCGGTGATTCATGTAAAGTGCTTAGCACAGAACCAGGCGTGTAGCAAGTACTCCGTCCACGGTCATTACTATTTGGAGGGCGAGGAGCTGGCAGCCTGGCTGTCCAGCGTTGATCAAACCTGTTCTGTTTTAAATATAAACTCTGAAAACACCCATTTCCCTAGAAGTAACCCTGGGGCCCAACTTGGAGGCGCTAATCATGTTCATTCAAATACCTACACCCCTCCCCCTGCTCCCCCCAACTTGCTGATTTTTTTCGGGACAATCTTTCCTATTCTTTGCTGAGCTCCGTGGCCATCCAAGGCAGGAGCTGCCTCAAGCTACTTTCTAGGGAAAAGGGAGAGTTTAGGGTAAGAAACACGGGACCAGCAGAGAGTGTCTGTATTGCCGGCCGCTCGGTGCAGAAAGCGCAGGTCTGAACGCTGGCCCACCCTGGCTGGGCGGCCGAGGGAGAGTGGCCTTCTCTCCCTGCACTGCAATTTCACTTCCGTAGAACCTTCCAGAGCAGGTGAGAGGATTAGTGAGAGGATGTCTGTCGTGCATCTACCTGTGTCTGGCAAGCGGCCGATGACCAAAATGGTTGCCTTTCTTCTCCGTCCCTAAATAGACATTATAATTAGTCCCCCACACACAAAGCTACTATAATCAGGGTCCCCTTTGATTCACTTACTTTATTAAGATAATTGATGTAGGACAGACATGTTTCCTCTTCCCTTCTAGGCCTGTCACCAGCACACTAAACATTCCTGCAATTGTTGTGTTGATGTGGGGTTTGTTTTGTTTTTTCCTCCCCCCCTCCCACTCCCCAATGTAGGAGATTGAAACATTGGGGTTTCTCTCCACCTGTTTGACCTTCAGATTTTTCACGTGTGAGTCAGGCTGGCCTGGACCCCGCTTCTTACCAGGGGCTGTCGGAGGCTCAGTTGCCTCCTCTGTAAAATGGGCATAAGGATAATCCCAAGGGTTGGAAGAAGGTTATAAAGTAGGTAAAGCATGTGAAGTTCTCGGCATAATCCTAGGAGTGGAATCTAGCAGCTGCTGCCATGGCTGTTTCTCTCCACGTTGTAGTTCTTTCCTGGATGTGACCTGTTCCTGCCTTTCACGGGGTCTTTTTACCCCAAGACCCTACAACTCTCTCTTTTTTTTTTTTTTTTAAATACCCGAGAATATGTTTGTAATGGTTTTTGAGAGATGGGGAGGGAGAGAGAAACATTGATGTGAGAGAGAAACATCCATAGGTATGCCCCGACTGGGGATTGAACCTTCCACCTGGGTATGTGTCCTGACCGGGAATCAAACCTGCAACCTACATGGGACGATGCTCCAACCAAGCCAGGCTGGCGAAGGCCCACAGATCTGCTTCCACCAAGGTGTGACTTCAGCTGCCTCCCTCCTCTTCCCCCAGCCTCAGTTTCCCCATCTGCAGGAGGACCTCTTGCTCACCTTTGGAATTTTACACACGACAGAACCTGAGCCCCTCGCTGGGACTCATCCCTTTGCCCTGCCAGCTGGTACCGGAAGTTACTCTGGGACCAACACCCCTGACCACCTCCCCCTCCTGCTCTTCTCTTGGACGTGTGACACCTCACCTCCCCTGAGGCTGAGTTTGTTATCCGACATGCCACGTGCCTCCTGTTCGAAGCCCCTTTCTCCCTGCCCAGAAACTCTTTTTTTTTTTTTTAATAAATATATTTTATTGATTTTTACAGAGATGAAGGGAGAGAGACAGAGAGCCAGAAACGTCGATGAGAGAGAAACATCGACCAGCTGCCTCCCGCACATCCCCCACCGGGGATGTGTCTGCAGCCAACATACATGCCCCTGACCGGAATTGAACCCGGGACCCCTCAGTCCGCAGACCGACGCTCTACCACTGAGCCAAACCGGTTTCGGCCCAGAAACCTTTTAAGAGTTTTCAGACAACTCTCTTCTCTCATCTCACATACTTCTATAAGCAGCTCCTTCCCCACCCCCCCCCCCCCCCCCCCCAGTTACTCACTGGTTTTCTGGGTGACATGAGAAGGAGAAAAACTTGGGCCCTAGAAAAAGCAGAACTGGGATTCCAGTCTCTCTCCCCCTCCCCCCACAACCCCCCTTAACCTCCCACCCCCGCCCGCTTCTTCCAACTCCCTGCTGTGACTTCTAATAACCTGCTCTCTCCCAGCCTCCGCTGCCTCATCTATGAACTGTGGACAAGGATAATCCCCGGTTTAACTTATGAGCTGCCTAGTGCTTTACAAGTATTTTCTCTTTTGCTCCTCTGAGAACTTCATTCATTCATTCATTCATTCATTCATTCATTCGTGAGTCCTTGCTACGGGCCAGTCCTGCCTGTGCGAGGCCATGGGGATGGAGCAGTAGACAAAAGTCCCCGCTCTCCTGGAGCTGATATTCCGGTGTGGAGACCATCGGCAGGGAGCTGTGTGAACCCGCAAAAGTTTATGGAAGGGGAAACTGAGGCTGTGACAATGAGCACCTTACTCCTCCCAGTTTGCCACGGGACCCTCCTGGTGTTAACACGCAGACCCCACATCTCGGGGGGGGGGGGGGAGGCTAGCCACCCTTGCTCAGTCAGGTGATGTAACTTGTCCAGGGTCACACCATGGGTCCGAGCCAGAGCCAGCTGGGAACCTGGGTGTGTCTGACCCTGCCACTTCCCCAAGCCCTGCCCCCTCACGGATTCTCTGTGGGTAATTTGGACAATACAGAAAAGCCCTCCATCCCTGCCTTCGTATTGTTAATGTGCAGAGGTGCTCCACTCTCTGGAGGTTAGTATGCAAAGACAAGTCAGAAGGCCCAGAGAGGGGAAGTCACTTAGCCAAGGTCACACAGCAAGGCGGAAGCGAAGCCAGGTCTGACCCTCCCTTCTTCCTCTCCCCTCCTCCACACCCAATGTCCTCACTTTTGTCATTTCCAAAGGGCTGAGGGGCTGGAGGAGGGGGCCATGCATTGAGGGCCTCCTCGTGCCAGGCGCGGTACCAGGAACAGCTGGCATGCTGCTCATTTAATCCTCGAGACCAGGTCCCTCCTGTTTTATTGGTGAGGAACGTGCAGGAGGAAGTGGGGGTCTCTGGGAGGATGCGAGTCTTTTGTTTTGGCGTTTTTGCCTTCCACTTGCTGCAGAAATCCTCACAGAGCACGGTTTTGGTGGCCCGGAGCCGTTTCCTCTTTTACAAAACTAGGCCGAACTGAGAATGTCCTGCCGGTCAGGGCCGCAGGCAGGCGGGGAGCCAAGGCCTGTGGGAGAGAGTTGTGAGTAAAGAGGAGGGAAAGTTGAATTTGGCCCTTTTAGGCACAAATGTCCCCTTGTTCTGCCTCAGCGGGAGCCAGTAGAATGTTTCCCTGCTGTGCAGGGGCCCAACCAGCCTCAAGGTCAAAAGCTGCTAGGCCTTTCTAAACTCCTGAGGGCCCAGGCAGCCTCGCACCCAGGGCAGGCCGTGAGGGGGTGCGCCGGAGGACCTGAGTTCTGAGGCCAGCTCTTTGCTGAGCGGATGCAGCTCATTCGCTTACAGCTGCATCCACTAGCGGCCAGCCCGGCACACAGTAGGTGTGCAAAAAGCGCGCGGGCATTTACTTGAAATGAAATCCCAGCATCACTCCTTCCTGGCTCTGTTACTCTCTCTGAGCCTCAGTTTCCTCATGTGGAAAGTGGAGCCAGTAACACTAGGCCCTCCTTCACAAGAATGTTGGGAGAGTTTCAGGAAATGACGGGAGGTGCTTAGCACCGAGGCTAAACGTTTTACATGTGCCATCTTGGTAAATCTTCCTTCTACCCTCCGAGGCACGAGTTCATGTCCCCATTTTCCAGAAGAAGACATTGAGACTTGGGATGCGTCTTGCCAAAGGTCAATGGCCAGCAGACAGCAGAGCTGAGATTTGAGATTTGAAGCCAGAGCCCATTGTTCTAACCATTAGACTCCCAAGCCTAGAGGTAGCCAGGTACTTGGCCTGCGCCCTTTAAAATATGGTTTTGTTTTTGTTTTGTTTTGTATTTCAGAGAGAGGAAGGCAGAGGTAGAGAGGGACAGGAACATCAACGATGAAAATCACGGATCGGCTGCCTCCTGCACACCCCACACTGGGGATTGAGCCCACCACCTGGGCATGTGCCCTGACTGGGTATCAAATCTTGCCCTACTGTTTCATGGGCAACCACTAAGCCACACCCACCGGGGAGGCTTCCCACAAAAAGTGGTGTCACTCACCTGCTGTGTGACCTTAGGCTTCACCTCTCCATGTCTGCTTTTCTCTTCATCAGGGTCATGGCGAGGACTGAGGGTTAAAAGGGCCTGGCAGTGTCCGCCACTCGCTAAGCCTCCAGTGGGTGGTGGTGATGGTGGTGATGGTGATGGCGATGGCGATGTGATGGAGATGGCGATGGAGATGGGGATGGAGATGGAGATGGAGATGATGGTGATGATGGCACACCTCCACCCTTCCGCCCTGCAGGCTGGCACCATGCGCGTGGTGGTGATCGGCGCGGGCGTCATCGGGCTGTCCACCGCCCTCTGCGTCCACGAGCGCTACCACTCGGTCCTGCAGCCGCTGGCCGTGGAGGTCTACGCAGACCGCTTCACCCCGCTCACCAGCACCGACGTGGCTGCCGGCCTGTGGCAGCCCTACCTCTCTGACCGCGGCAACCGACAGGAGGCGTGAGTGAGGGTCCTCGCGGGGGGCCGGGCGGGCAGAGGGAGGAGCTGGGTCTGCAGAGGGGCTGCCCGTGATGGAGGCTGTGGCCTGGCATGATGTGAAGAAAATAATACACAGGAAGCCCCTTCCAGGTGCTAGACAGATGCTACCCTGGATCTCAGCAGTGATAGAAGTGACATGTGCCAGGCCGGCGGAGGCTCTGTCCCCATTCCTCCCCTAAACCAGGTGGCTGTCGTTGCCAGATGAGTCGGTAAATCAGGAATACTTCTAAGGGAGTCGGTCAATGCTCAGGGTTAGCCAAGACATTGCAAAGGTCATGAGGTCAGTCTTGAAACCCCCCGCTGATTCAACCAAGGAAGCCTCAGATGACTAGCAGCTCAAGCAGACGTTTGATTCTTCCCACAAATTCCAAACCCGTGTCCCTGATCAGTGGGTGACAATTCAGGGACCAGGCTCCTTTCCAGCTCGTGGCACTGTTCATTCTCCTCCGTGGCTTCCAACGTGGCCCTTCTCATGGGCCAGCACCTGCACAAGGAGCATAGCATGGAGACTCCATGCTTATGCACAGTTTCTGGGGTCTTTGGGCTAGAAGGCGGTCACGTGGTCATGCCTAGCTGCAAAGGAGTCTGGGAAATGTAGTTGAGCCGTGAGCCCAGGGAGAAGAGGAAGCATTTGGGAGTGCAAGAGAAAGCTTGAACCGTGCGGCTCACAGTCTCCGAAAGCAGGTCAAAGTCTCCATTGAAGCGTGGCAACTGCGTGATCCTAAGTGGGAGGTCGGTTCCGGAAGGCTGTGAGGGAGCATCGTCTGTTTCCCTCTTCTCTGTTCCACTGATGCGGACATATTGGAAAGCGTGGGGAAGGGGAAGACCCAAAGGCATGTGGGGTGCTGCAGGACTGGGACAACCGCCCCACCAGCCTGACCAAAGCCCTGTGCAAGCTGGCCCCTCAGGGCTGCCTCATCCAGCTCAGGGTATGACATGATGGGACTCTGGGGGACCCTTCCAGGCATTGGAACCGACAGACGTTCGACTACCTCCTGAGCCACGTCCATTCTCCCAGTGCTGCGAGCATGGGCCTGGCCCCGATCTCGGGCTACAACCTCTTCCATGAAGCTGTTCCGGTGAGTGAGGAGCCCTTGACCATTGGGCCGAGCCTTGATCACAGGCCAGTGGGGAGTACTTTGGGTCTGGAAGGTGACAGTTTCCTATGTCCAAAACAAGTTTATTGTAAATCCTATGTCTGGCTTTTTAAATGATTTCTTTCCCCCCCCCACCCCCCCCACCCCCCCCACCCCCCGTGTTGCTACCCTGTTTCCCCGAAAATAAGACAGTGTCTTATATTAATTGTTTCTCCCAAAGTCGCACTAGGTCTTATTTTCAGGGGATGTCTTATCTTTCCATGCGCGAGGTCTTATTTTCGGAGGATGTCTTATTTTCGGGGAAACACGGTATTAAATTGAGACCCAAGAATCTTCTGACAAACAGAGGGGAGTAGCCTTTGGTTGGCATGGGTAACGCTTCGTCGCGTTCTCCAGTGGTGGGCACTTGGTGCTGAGGCCAAACTATGTCCTGTGACCCTGGAGGTGGTCCCCGGGCTTTTCATCAAGATGGACTAAAACACTCATCACGGTGCACACTTCTAAAGCACCTACTGTGTGCCCTCCTCTCCTTCTTCTGCAGGACCCTTCCTGGAAGGACATAGTTTTGGGATTTCGGAAGCTGACCCCCAGGGAGCTGGACATGTTCCCCGATTACAGGTAAGGTTCCTGTCATGGGCAAAGGGACTGAGGCCCCATAATTCAGACAGACCAGGCCAGGAAGCAGAAGATGGAGTCACCAAAGTTCCTGTCCCATCCTACGCTTAGAGCCTCTGGTACCTCGGTCCCCTGGTGCTCTGTTCAGCTCCTTCCGAGATAAACCCACCCAAACTGGGCCTTGGGTTAAGGAAGTAGAAGTCATGGAACCACAGATCCCAAGGCCAGATGCTCCATATCCCTATGTTTCTTCCTAAGGTCACTCAGCCAAATGTCCTAAATGGGATTCCAATCCAGCCTGTGGGACTCCAAACCCCCTATTCTTTTCCCTACAGCCTAGTGTCTTTGTGGTCCTCTCCTCGCCTCACCCAATGCTTGAATCCCCTCTACAAATGTACATCCAGTCTCCACTTGCACATCACTATGTCAGGGATGGCTTTGCATGACATAAAAAATTTCCTGGCATTGAGCTAAAAGCCACTTCCCACTTGAATTTCTCCCAGTGGTCCTGTCTTGACCCTTGGGCCCACACCACTACCACCTCCCTTCCCTTATCCCCCCCAAAAAACAACTCTGCTCCCATCTCCATTTGATAGCCTTCTGATTCTGATCCTTTATCTCACCTTTGCCTGCTGTGACTCTAGCTATGGCTGGTTCAACACGAGCCTGACTCTGGAGGGGAGGAGGTACCTGCAGTGGCTGACTGAAAGGTGAGATGTTCAACGTTAGCTTCAGCGAAACACCTCCCAGGGGCCTGGGCTGTCGTAGATGATTGTTCATGGTATTCGTCTTTGGATCGGCCAACCCCAAATGTTAACATTTAGGTGTGGTGGGAGTTAACCACTGGGCAGTGGTTCCCATGTCTAGTTGGGCAACAGAACCACCTGGGCAACTCTTTCCATGAGATGTTTATTCGCGACCTCACCAAAACCCATAATGTTTGTGTAGTAGCTTTAAATGGATTCTCTTGAGTTTGCCAGGCCTATTTACATCATCTACAAAACATAAGTTGCCTTTTATTTTTATACCTCACCTCTTTTTTTTCTTCTTGTCTAACTGCGATGGCCAGTTCCTCCAGAACAATGTTAAATAATACAGGTGACGGTGGAAGTTCCTGTCTTGTTCCTGATGCTGATAGGAATCTTGAAGTGTTCTACATTAGCTTGAGAGAGACATTGGCATTTACATTCACGTGCCTGCATATTAAGAAAGATTCCATATATGTCCTACATTTCACTATTTCATTATGATGTTGAAAACTCTAGAATAGATGGTGGCTTTTATCAGGTGACCTGGGGAGTTTTTAAAAACAGATTTCATGGCCCTGCTTCATATCTACGGAATCAAAACCTCTGGGATGGGGCTCAGAAAGTTATATTTTAGGAAGTTTCCTGGGTGATGCCAATGATCAGCCAGGTTTACGAACCATTGTGCTAAAACCCGCTTCTTTCTCCTAACCTTGGCACACTTAATGACTCCTGTCTAGGCTCTTCCTGGGACAAATGCTCCAAGTCTTTCTACCTAGAGGAAACTGTGCAGATAAAATAGTCCCGAGGTTATGCTTCAGCCTTATATGGTTTATTTCATGTTCTGTTGATGTTTCTACTACATTTCTAACAGTGACAAATATTTCTCAGCTGGAACATTTAGAGGGAGGGGTGAGCATCTCTAACCCACTTCCCTCCTCATGCTCTGCTTCTGACAAAGGGGTGCATTGGTCCAACCCTGTCCCCCTCCATTTAGTTTGAGTCCCAGCCCTGTCATTGACTCACAGTGTGACCTTCAGTAAGGCCCTTCTCCCATCTCCATCTGCCTCATGAAGAGCTTGGACTGTCTCAGGTTTTCCAAGGGACATTTCACGGCCCCTTGGTGGTATATAGCCACTTTCTCAAGGAGTACCCCATGGACAGAGGGTCTTTGGGGTATGTCCCCCATGCCGTCCTTATGGAGTAGTAGGAGATCGGGTTGAGTAAGGAGCTTTTCCGTGTGTCTGATCATCCCAGGTTAACCGAGAGGGGAGTGAGATTCTTCCAGCGGAAGGTGGAGTCTTTTGAGGAGGTGAGTTGCGGGCTGGCCGGGGCTGGGTGTGGGAGGGAGGAGAAGAGGGCAGGCCTTCGTTTTTCCTGTTGCTGAGTTGAGGGCCCCCTGCTCAGTCTTCCAGGATCCCTCGGAGGCCCATCCCAGACTCCAAACGTCTGTCAATCCCTGAAGGACTCGGGCATTCGCCTTGATATCGGTGACAGAAGCCGAGGGACAGGGGCACAATGGCTGCCATGAAGGGCTGATCTCTATGAAAGCCTCAGAGAGCTGGCTGCTTCTTCCCAGTATCAGCTGCTCCCCACCCCCATGTCCTAGACACTTGGGTTGCCTCCTGCGGATGTCTGGGTTGATGCTTCTGCAAAGGCCCGGGCTCCTGCTGACTCAGCGCAGGAATAACACCACCACCAGTCATCATGACAGGAGCAGCTAGCATCAGGCGCTGGCCTGGCCCCAGGAGCTTTGTTCTGTGACTTCACTCCCTCCCGGCAGCTAGGGCAGTGCTTGGTTCGGGGAAGGCGCTCAGTACCCGCAGCTACAAGCATTCTATCGTTAGCATCGCTCTGCGCCCAGCCCTGATGGGCACTTGGGAGATGCAGCTGACTCAGACGCAGCCCTCGTTCCCAGAGAGATGACGGTCCAGGGTAGCAAACACTGGCTCATGAACAGTAACAGCGCCCTGTGGTGTGCATGCCCCAAAACTAAACTCTGAGGGGCATCAGGGGGCAGGTTTGGATGCCCATCAGGCTCCATCCTGAAATTACTGAGTATCCCATCCATGCCCAGCACTAGGAGGTCCAACGTGCCTCCTGCAGATGTCTTGGCATAAGAGAAGGCAAGAGAATGAAAGGAAAAGGAGTCAGAAAGAGCCCTAACCGGTTTGGCTCAGTGGATAGAGCGTCGGCCTATGGACTCAAGGGTCCCAGGTTCGATTCCAGTCAAGGGCATGTACCTTGGTTGTGGGCACATCCCCAGTTGGGGGGTGTGCAGGAGGCAGCTGATGGATGTTTCTCTCTCATTGATGTTTCTAACCCTCTCACCCTCTCCCTTCCTCTCTGTAAAAAAATCAATTATACATATATATATTAATGGGGGGTCACAAAGAGGAAGAGAACTAGCTCTGCTTGCTTACTGACTTCTTCTGGAAGGTTCCAGAAAGGTTCCCCCTTTTCCACAGTACATCTTTCTAAGCATTTTTACATCCAGAGGCACACTGGATCCTCGCCGTGGCCTGTGAATGTGCATTGCCAGCCCCTTTTATTGCTAAAGCAGCTGAGCCTAGAGGAGGTAACGGGACATTTCAGAGGCCACACGGCGGGTCCAGGTCAAGGGCAGAGCACACATTAGGAGTTAGGCCCAGGAATTCCTCCCTGAGCCTCTGCCTGAGAGCTTTGAGGTAAAAGGAGGGGAGGGGAGGGGGCAGGGGGTACCAGGATCCTTACCCTCTTCCACCCTAAACCTGCCCTGTTGGTTGCTGCCAGGTGGCAAGAGGAGGCGCCGATGTGATTATCAACTGCACAGGCGCGTGGGCCGGGGCGCTGCAGCCGGACCCGCTGCTGCAGCCAGGCCGCGGGCAGATCATTAAGGTGAGTGTGCAGGTGAGGGATGAGACCTCCGGCTTTTGTTGCTAGGAAGATGGTATCGATAGCTGCCTGCTTATTTCACCTCCAAACATCTGTCAGAGGAATCGCATGTGGAAGAAGCAAGAAAGACCAATGTAATACGACTCTCCTAAATGTTCTCTTTTGAGATTTCTTCTTAAAGGCAAAGCATGTGTGTGTATATATACACTGAGTGGCCAGATTATTATGATCTCTGAACGCATAATCATCTGGCCACTCAGTATAAATATATATACATTTGTGTGTGTGTGTGTGTATGTATACTATATATATATGATATATATAAATATATATATATATGTATGATATATATATATATATATATATATATATATTAGAGGCCTGGTGCATGAATTCGTGCATGGGTATGGTCCGGCCAACCTGGCCATGCTTGGCCGACCTGCCTCCTGGTCAAACTCCTGATCGAGGGGACAATTTGCATATTAGTCTTTTATTATTTAGGATAGACACTGAGTGGCCAGATGATTATGCATTCAGAGATCATCATAATCTGGCCACTCAGTGTATATGCTTATGCATATATGGGAGCTGCTTATATGTGCGAGCATGCCTATTATTATAACGGAAAGAGGACTTGGTTGTGCCCATCACTGAATCTTTACCACAACCCTTTGAGATGGGGGTCTATTGTATCACCATCACCCTCTCACAGATGGGGAAACCGAGGCACGGAGGAATTAAGGAAATGCACAATTCCATGCAACAGTAAGTGGTGGAGCTGGGATTAAAACCCAGGCAGCCTGGATTAAGAGCCTGGGTCTAAGCATCAGTCCACACCACCTCTCGGGGTGTACGTGTACATGTGTGTGAGGCATGCCTATTTGTGTGTATTCATAGGTATGTAGGTGTGTGGGGATGGCATGTGTGTTCCTGAGGTGGTCGTGTGTGTGTGTGTGTGTGTATGTGTCTGTGTCTGCACATGCGTGTTGGGCTTTTCTGTGGATATGTGGGTGAAAGTATGCGATGCTTCAGGGATCAGGTGGGCTCTCAGTTGGGGTGCTCTTCCTGCAAGTGCAGGCAGCCGGGGGCAGACGGTGGCAGGGGGTCCTGGGAAGTGCCCGCTCTTATCAAAGCACGTGGTCTTGGAGGGGAGCAGGGCAGGGGCTGCTCCCTCTCCCCTGAGGAGACGTCTCCGTCCTCCATCCACAGGTGGATGCTCCTTGGATAAAGCACTTTGTCATCACCCATGACCTGGACAGAGGCATCTACAAGTCCCCGTACATCATCCCAGGGTAAAACGCTGGTGTCGTAGGCAGAAGAGGGGCCATCGCTATGCCCTCCTTATGCTCCTGCTGCCTGCCCCAGCCCCTTCAGCTTTTTTCTTCAAATATTTTTTTTAAGTGTGGTTGAGTCAGTAAATGCCTGGGAGAGGGCAACAGAGATGGAAACACCAACCACTGAGCCACGGCATGCTTGAACATGCATTTGGATAAGCGTGATGCTAGAGACAATCAATAAAAAATATTTTTTTTAAAAATCTATTCTCTTAGCAATTTTCAAGTATTCATACAGTATTGTTAACCATGGTCGCCACGTTGTACACATGAAGAGATGCCAACTACGGTGATGGTGGAAGTGGTGGTTGATGGTGATGACAATGGCAGTGGCCGTGGTGTTGGTGATATTGAGAGCAGGGATGTTGATGGTAGGAGTGAGTTAGGTAGAGATGGTGGTAAGGGTTAACATGGTGATGATCCCCATTCATCTCAAAGGCTTTGTTTCCCTTCCTCCTTGGCCCTCCTTACTTCTCTGTAGGATCCAGGCAGTGACTCTCGGAGGCATCTTCCAGCTGGGGAACTGGAGCGAGGTGAACAACAGTGAGGACCACAACACCATCTGGGAGGGCTGCTGCCGACTGGAGCCCACCCTGAAGGTAAGGGGTAGAGGTATTCGGTCCCTGCACCAGGCTCCGGGCGGCTTGATCAGGAGGACACGTGAGGAGGAGAAGATTCCACCACAGGGTCACTGGGCGACTTAATTCCAGGAAGGGTCTGTGGTATGAATACACCCGAATTTGATCATGTCCAGGGAAGTCCTAGTATGGGCTGATGAAACCAATATGTCCATGACTAAGACTTACTCTCTGCTGAGGTGACATCCTCAAAACACCTTATTCAGAGTTCACGAGGAGCAGATGTATTTGGTGCAGAAATTTCAGTTGCCACCATCTCACCTGTTAGTGGCAATGACAACACTGATGGTGATGAGGGTGTGACGAGCAGGTGGAGGTAGTGGTTGGTATTGATGGTGAGGAAAATGCTGAGGATGGTAATAAGGATGGTGATGAGGTGGCGACTGTTGACAATATCATGGTTGTCAACATCAACAACATGGAATAAAGATGGAGACGCTGATAGAAGTGAGGGTAACGAGTGATAGTAATGATGTGAGTGGCTGCCAAAGGTGGTGATGATGGCAGTGGGGATGAATAAGACAGACAGGGATGATGTTCAAGGTGGTGGTAATGACAAAAGTGAACGCTCTATCCCCTAAAAATGGCAGTGGGGAAAAAAAAATAATAATCCAGAGATGAATTACTAATGCTTTTCTCTCCAGGATGCCAAAATCGTTGCTGAGTTGACTGGCTTCCGGCCAGTACGCCCCCAGATTCGGCTAGAAAGAGAACAGCTTTGCTTCGGATCTTCAAACACAGAGGTATGCTTTCCTGGCAGGGAAAGCAATGCCCATCCCACCCCTAAGAGGGCTCTTGGCAGTGCCGGCTAATGTCCCCTCCTCTGTAAATGAGGCTCAGGGATGGAAAAGGACCCGCTCAAGGTTACCCAGAGGGCAGCGCCTTGGTTTGCTGGAACCGATGGTCAAGCAGAAGAAAATGGGCACCTTGTTGAACATCTGCTTTATGCCCATGACACGAACGACCTTAGGGAATCTCCCCGACAGCACTTTGGGGCGGGGACTGTCCCCCCCTGTGCAAACAGAGGCTCCAAGAGGTAGAGTCGATCGCCTACATCCTGGTGAGGGACAGGCTTGGGATGCGATCTGAATGGGACTCCAGCCCCGTTTCCCAGATGTCCATTTGTGGCTGCTCCTTTGTCTCTCTCTCTCTCTGGGGTCCCCTCTCATGTCCTCTCTCCTAGGGTAGAGATGGGCTTATTGAAATGACGGGAGGTGCTGTCCTGGGCTGAAGTGGGTGAGGATTGGGCTCCCATCAGGAAAGCAATCTTCCCCATCGAGGTCACACGTCCTTTCTCGTGGATGTGTGTTCAATCGGGAGAGTCTCGCATGGAGCTTTTAAGTCCCAGCTAACGGTTTAGCTTTGAAAAGGGCCCCAAGGTCTTGCCTCTGTCTCATTCCCCAGACCCCACTCCTCAGGTGCCCCTGATTTTCTTTCCTCCCCAGATGGATAAAAGAGTCGTCTATTAACACAGGGGGGTCAGCAATCTGGAACAGGGTGGGAATGAGGAAGGTGATTTAGAGAACTTCAAACCATTTTATGTGTGTGTTTTTTTGGGGGGTTGGGGTGCAGGGGTGGGGTGGGGGGGAATCTCTGACCTCAAGTTCTAGATGATTCTGCATTTCCTGTGCTGAGCATATAAAGCAGGTCCATCTCCTAAGTAAAAGAGGAGTTCAGGCCGTGGTCAGCAAACTGCGGCTCGCGAGCCACATGCAGCTCTTTGGCCCCTTGAGGGTGGCTCTTCCACAAAATACCACGGCCTGAGCGAGTCTATATTGAAGAAGTGGCGTTAGAAGAAGTTTACGTTTAAAAAATTTGGCTCTCCAAAGAAATTTCAGTCGTTGTACTGTTGATAATTGGCTCTGTGGACTAATGAGTTTGCCGACCACTGGTCTAGAATATCAACCTCCAGTTCCCCAAACAATCCCCTTACTGCTGTTCCAGGAGACCCCTCCCTCCCACCAGGGTACCGAGGAGAGTTTCCGTGTCCTCTGGCTTTGTCCAGGACTCTTCAGAAAGTTCCTGAATCTTTCCGGGCAGACCAGGCCACCTCCTCTCTTCCTCTCCCAGGTCATCCACAACTACGGCCATGGAGGCTACGGGCTCACCATCCACTGGGGCTGTGCCCTGGAGGCAGCCAAGCTCTTTGGCGAAGTCTTGGAAGAAAGGAAGTTGCTCAGGGTGCCACCATCTCACCTCTGAAGGTGCCAATGATCACCACCCCCACTCAACCCCCCCAAGGACTTCCCACTTTCCTCAGCCAACTAATCAATGTGCTTCTCTCTAAGTCGTCACTTACCCCCCACCCCACCCCTGGCTCCTGTGCACAAGAAGCATGAGGTGAAGGTCAATTCCTGGAGGTGAGTCCAGCCCCATCTGGGCACGTTTTGACCTCTCTCTCTCTGGGGCTGGCCTTGCTAAAGCTTATGCCATGAGTCCTCAGAAGAAACTCTCAGGAAGTCCAAGAGGCGAGCAGGAAAATGAGGCAGTTGAGGTGATGTCAACTCGATGACAAGTTGCAATAACAGGGAAAAAAATATGAAAGGTTCTGAAAAGTCCTGCAGCAAAAACCCGTATCTGATGTTGTGTCTTCCTGAACCTATGGAAACCTTTTGCCCAGCCCTAAGGCCACAGAAAGAACCTGGGGGAATGCTGTAACAGATTTCACAGGAAGTTATACGTCGAACTGGAATACCGAGGAGGCAGAGGAGATGAGGCATGAAACTACCAACATACAATGCCTGTTTCACATCTAGGATCCCAGATGGCATCAACCACCCACTGAATGGCCCCTTCAGAAGGGGCCCTGGGAAGGATCATCCCACAAGGAACCCCTTCCCAGAGACTAAACTCACCAAGCACGCTCCTTGCTTACTCAGCATCTCTCTGCCTTCTGGCTGGCACCCTCTGAGAGGGCAAACAGGCTTTCAGATGTTTCTGAAAGCCTTCCATGAGCCTAGGAGCCGCCCTGGTTTGCCTCTCTTGACCCAATCTTCCCAACCCATCTTCATTGGGCCAGGACTATAACGAACACTAAACCGGACCGATCGGCTTCCTCCCCTGAGGAGTTGGAAGTGGGACACTGAACAGCTGAGTCATATATGTTTGCAGAGCCGAGTCACGGTGCGTGGAAGCCATGAGCGGGGTAGGCATAGGCAGCGACCACGAGGAGGCACTTGCAGAGGCTGCAAATGGGCGGCCCCTGCACCAAATGCTGGCCTGCGGTGGATTCTATTGGGCTCACACGTCATTGAAAAATGTTTGCCCCGACGAACTAAAATTTGGAGATTTGACATAAAAATCCAGTCTCCTGTCTTGAAAACTGGGAGATCCCATCATACACCCAAAAGAAAAAAAATAATAAAATCAGGTACGACTGAGTAGTGGCCGCCCCTTTTCTCCTTGCTCTGTGCTGTCCTTCCCTCTTCCTGTGCTTCTTCGTATGAAGTAACCCGAGTCCAATTGCTATTCCTTGCCATTAAAACAGCCTTGATGGGCCAAAACCGGTTTGGCTTAGAGGCTAGAGCATCAGCCTGCGGACTCAAGGGTCCCAGGTTCGATTCCGGTCAAGGGCATGTACCTTGGTTGCAGGCACATCCCCAATGGGGAGTGGGCAGGAGGCAGCTGATTGGTATTTCTCTCTCTCATCGATGTTTCCCTCTCTCTTCCTCTCTGTAAAAAAATAAAAATAAAATAAAATAAATAAAAATCAATAAAATGTATTTTAAAAAACCACACACAAAACAGCCTTCATGGGAACTCTGTGGTAAGGCCCCTCTCCCTTACCCCCCATCCCACCATCTTCCTTCTTCCATGCTAACAGAATCCCGATTCTATTTCAAGAAGATCCTGTGGGAAATAGGTCTTTTTCCCCCTGAGACCTCGGGAAGAATTCATGCTGGGATGGTCATGGGACCCAGGTCTGATCAATGCAAAACAATGATAAATCTGTTGGAGTGCTTCCTTTTTAACCAAAAGCAACAGACCCGTTTGAAGGAAACCCTTTGGTGGCTGCTCCTTCCCAGCTCTACTCCTCCTTTGAAAACCAATATGATGCCCGGGCCCGCGGGAGTCCCCCTTTGGCCAGGAGGCTGTGAATGGCCAGCATGCAGAGGAGAGCAGGGGAGAAATGCAAAAAGAAGTCAGGTCTTGGATGACACGGTTGAGCTGCCAGGCCTTTCCTAGAACTGCCCAACTCTGGGCTTGTTGCTGAAGGAACAAGGACTATCTTAATGGTCGAAGCTACCATTGACTGGCTTTCCAGCTGCTTGCCGCTCAAGGTCGCCAGTCTTTTGCTGTCTGCTTCGTGGTAACTAAGGGAGTCTCTTCATCTCGCCCTTCAAGGCTCATCTGTTGCTTAATATTACTTAAAAATAAAGGCTGCCCGTAGTCATGTCAAGTCCATTCCTAAGAGAGTCTTTCATCCCGTTGCCAACACCGCCAGGGTCGTGGATGGGTTCCTGAGACTTTGAAGTAAGGGGGAGAAATTACGCAGCCCCAGCTACACTGAACGTCCTTGGCCATTTTCTGAAATCTTTCCTAACATGAGGAACAGATGACATTTCCATTAACGGGAACAGGAGCTTTCGGATAGTTCAAAAGTAGATGCAAACGTCCTCAGCGAGAGGCTTGGGCAACTTGAGTGGCAGCTCGTGTGTCGTTCAGGAATATTGATTTGTTTTTGTTTTTTGGAAAGGGCAAGCGATTTAGAAGGCAAAGAATTTTTTCACTTGCATTTTCTCCAGAAGAGAAAGCTCTCAATCGCAGGCCCTCTCGCCTCCGGCCCCTGGAAAACATTTCTGCCCCCCGAGCACTCCTTCCCTGCCCCAGCCCCCACCCCCTCCGGGTTATTTGAGGGTAAAGGGAGTGGACAGGCTCATCTGGCAGTGTCTGGCCAGCTGGAAGGCAAAAAAGACAAGCGAAGGGTCTGTGTTACCCGGGAGAGCTCAGCAGACCAGAAGTAATCAGGACTCTAGCCACTCGGGGTTCAAGGGCACCCCCCTCCCACCCTCCCAGTGCCAGGGAGCGGAAGATCCGCCAAGAGCTGCCCCCTCCCTGACTGGCTGCCTGGGCCGAGGGGGCAGCAGCCGCTATAGTCCGGGGACACTGGATTGTTTGTAGTCCACCTCGGACTTGAGCCTGGCGAGGTCGCCCACACCCACAGACGCAGAGTCACAAGGTTGTCGGCCAACAGGACAGCGTTTCCCCCTTCCTGAAAAGATGATCATATCGGAGCACATGGAAGCGTTGAGATGGCCCTGGATGGGCAGAGTTTGGCAAGGCCATTAGGCTGAACTGTCAGTGGGACGTTATGACAAACGGACAGACTTCGAGTCCCTGGCGATGTCCATCACCACATGTTCTTTATCCTCGCCCGAGGGTATTTTTCCATTGATTTGTAGAGAGAGTGGGGGAACGGGGGCGGGGATGGTGGAGAGGAGACGGAGAGATACATCAACTGGTTGCCTCCTGCATGCGCCCCCATACATCCCCAACCTAGGACCCTTCAGTCCACAGGCTGACACTCTATCCACTGAGCCAAACTGGCTAGGGCCAACATGTTTTTTGTTTTGTTTTGTTTTGTTTTTTTAAATATATTTTATTGATTTTAGAGAGGAAGAGAGAGGGAGAAAGGGATAGAAACATCAATGATGAGAGAGAATCATTGATTGGCTTTCTCTTGCTCGCCCCCTACTGGGGATCAAGCCCGCAACCCAGGCGCGTGCCCCTGGCCGGAATCGAACCTGGGACCCTTCAGTCTGCAGACTGACGCTCTATCCATTGAGCCAAACCAGCCAGGGCTACGGCCAACATGTTTTAATAAGAGATGAACGAACACATTGGGCTTCCACACAATGTTCACGCCAAGCAGATGCCTCCAGGCAGAGGGTCAAGCTTCTCTGTTGTTGGGACCCAGCCGCTTCCTCCCTCCTCTCCTAGGTCCCCTGCCTTCCGGGTGGGCAAATCCAGGAGGTGGGTGTCAGCCCTTCCTTCCCAGGCCAACCCCAAACCCAAAGAACCTTCCTCCTCTTCCTTTGAAAATGTACACGTTTCACATACCTGGGTCCCTGCCCCCCATGGCTCTCCAGCTCGTGACACCCCGCTGTGGGTCCCAAGAGCTGTCTCTGTGCAGAGACCAAGCCAGCCTTGATAGCGAGGGCGGCAGAGAAACCAGGGGGAAGGATTCCTGTCCCCGGACCCCAGCGGGAGGGGGCGGTTGGCGAAGCATCATTTGGTTCTCTCCGTTCGCCCGAGCTCAGCGTCCAAAACGCCGAGACCTGAGGTAACTGTCCTCTTCCCCAAGAGTCCCCGCAATCCGCCTGACCAAGGAGCGGGCCTCAAAAGCAGCCCCGACGGGGCCTTCGCTGCTTCTGAGCGGGAGGGCCCTGTTTTGGCTCTGGGCTTGATCCTCGCCTCTCTTTGGCCCCGGTCCCCAACGCCTGGGGTGACAGCTTTCCGGGGCTGCCGTCCGGTGCAAGCCCTGCGGTCCCCATGGACACATTGGGATCCCCTGGAACCAGGGGCAGCAACTCCCAAGGAGGCCAGGTGGGGCACGTGGGCTCAAGGTCAAATGCAGGTACGTCCGGCCAGAGTCTCCAGGAGTCGGGCCCCGCCCGGGGAGGCACACCAAGAGGCCCCTTCGGAGGGAGTGTTTCTCCAACCCGAGAAAAAGGTGCTCAGGCCACCCCCGCGTCATCTGCGATCTCAAAGAAGGGAGCCGGGGGGGCCTGGGTGTTGGAGGAACCTGCCGACCAGGTCTGGCTGGTGGGCGGCAGGTCTCCGGGGGCCGGGGCCTGGACGGTGTCGATGGAGACCTTCTGGCTGTCGCTCACCACGCGGGTGTGGCCGGCTGACCCCGGGTGGTGCCTGGCTGGCTGCCAGGGTCCCCGGTGTGGCAGTTTTCCCATGCAGACCCACAGGCGATGGACAAACCTCCCCCCACACATCCAGAACCTCCCCCCGGAGCGAGGGCTTCCCCAGGAACAGGAGCCACCGGGTTGTGCTCGCGGGCGAGTTCTCGGTGTCGGCAGTGACGGTCAGTGCCCCAGACAGGCTCGGCCAGCTCCCCGCGCTTCACGGCCTCCAAGACCAACCAGCTCAGCCCCGCCCCCCGAGGTCACTACTCCTGGGAGCCCGAGTTCGACCTGGTGACACCTGCGCCGTGCGCCCCGCGGCCCACCATCTCCTGGCCCCACTCCCGGTGGCTGGACTCCTGCAGTCCGCGGCCTTTGGTCTCGATGGGCAGAAAGCAGGAGGCCAGGGCAGCCAGGAGGCAGCAGCCGCTGTAAACCGCCAGCGACAGGTACACAGAGGATTCCAACATCACCTGGGGGGGGGGGGGAGGAAGGGGGCAGAGAAGATGTGTATCCATGAGAGCATCCTTTCCGAATGGACCACCAGCCATTCGGACGACACTGATAACCCCGGGCCCCCTTGTAAGCACCGTGTTGGTTGTCCCATTTAGTCCTCATGACAGCTCCATGAGGTAAGTTCCCTGTTCCCATTTCACAGAGGGGAAAACTGAGGCTCAGAGAGGGTTTCAGTATCATACCCAGGTTCATAGAGATACGAAGAATGGGATTGGGATTTGAGCCCAGACCCCAACAGGCCCAAGCGTCTGGATTCCTTGTTTCAACCCTCTCTCTCTCGGAGCAGTGTCTCTGCTGACTTCCTAGCTCCGTGGTCGGCAAACTGCGGCTCGCGAGCCACAGGCGGCTCTTGGGCCCCTTGAGGGTGGCTCTTGCACAAAATACCATGGCCTGGGTGAGTCTCTGTTGAAGAAGTGGCATTAGAAGAAGTGTTTACGTTTAAAAAAAATGTGGCTCTCCAAAGAAATGTCCATCGTTGTGCTGTTGCTATTTGGCTCTGCGGACTGATGAGTTTGCCGACCCCTGTACCTAGCTCAGCGGCACCAGGAAAATCGCAGCAGGGCTGAGCCTCGTTTCCTGCATTTGGCAAATGGGCACGAGGGCAGTGTCCGCCTCCTAATGAGAAGATACCATGGCAGCAGTTGGCACAGGGCGGGCGCATGGCAGGCTCTCAACCAGTATTAGTTAGCAGCGACGTACAATGGCCAAACACAGCAGTGCAGAACAGCTGCTCGGCTCCAGCCCGTGCTGGAATTCCAGGAGCATGGAATACCGGAACAGATAAGTCCCCGCGGACAGACTGCGGCGGGTGGCTGCCAGGGGCTGCCGGGAGAGGGGAGTGGGGCGTGGGGAGGCGCTGCTCCATGGGTACAGAGCTTTGGGGGTGATGAGAGTGTCTTGGAACTAACCAGGTGGTGGTGGTTGCCAGCATAAGGAAGGTGCTCAATGCCACTGAATTGTTGGTGTAAAATGGCCCGCTTTTTGTGGGATACAACTTTTGTCTCCATTTTTTAAAAAGTGACAAAAAGAGGGAGAAAATGAATTAGATACGTAACAAGAAAAGATGTTTCAAAATAAGATCCCTAGCCGGTTTTGCTCAGTGGCTAGAGCGTCAGCCTGCGGCCTGAGGGGTCCCAGGTTTGATTCCGGTCAAGGGCACAGGCCTGGGTTGCTGGCTCGATGCCCAGCGTGGGGCCTGCAGAAGGCAGCTGATCAATGGTTCTCTCTCATTATTGATATTTCTATCTATTTCTCTCCCCCCCCCTCTCTGATATCAATAACAATAGATATCTTAAATCCCTGAAAATGGGTTGAAATGCTTCAAGATACACATCGGGTTACGAAATTCTACAATTACATCTAATGACCCAACTTGGAAACCAGGGGCGGGATCATTCGTTTCCTACGAATCATGTTTCCATCCAAATTATTTTTGGCCAAGTCCTATGATGCTCCAGGGGTCTTCCGCGTGGGAAAGACCTGGGTTTGATCCCCAGCTTCTCTACTTCCCAGCTGTGTGACCTTGGGCAAGTCCCGTGACCCTTCTGAGCTCAAGTTTTCCCATCTGCGAGCCGTATTTCTTTTCTCCTAAGATGGGTGGTTGGGATGAAATACGATAAGGCACACGGAGGGCTCCACAGAAGGCTCGGCATATCGTAGCTGCCTGCCACACGCTGGCTGGCTTCTGGCATGCCCACCCCCTCTGTATTTGGGGGACACCCACCTGAGCAATGAACGGAGTGATGAGAGCACCCACTCTCGCCATGCCACTGCAGGTGCCCAGGCCCAGCGCTCGCGTCGCCGTGGGGTACACCTGAAACACAGCCCCCAGATGTGGCCTCGAGTAAACACAGGTCCCTCCTGCTGCCCCAGCTCAGGAATGTCGGGACTGACTCCCCAAGGGTGGGCCTGGCGTTAGTGTGAATTCCTCAGGCATTGGTGACCCCAGTAAGAGGTGGGATACTGGGGGTAAAGAGTCTTCACACAGCCGAAACCGGTTTGGCTCAGTGGATAGAGCGTCGGTCTGCGGACTGAAAGGTCCCAGGTTCGATTCCGGTCAAGGGCATGTACCTTAGTTGCGGGCACGTCCCCAGTAGGGGGTGCGCAAGAGGCAGCTGGTGGATGATTCTCTCTCATCGATATTTCTAACTCTCTATCCCGCTCTCTTCCTCTCTGTAAAAAGTCAATAAAATATATTATTAAAAAAAAAAAAAAAAAAAAAAGATTCTTACCCCAAAGGAGTTAGGAAATTCAACTGAGAAAGAAGGCGAGAGGCTGAGCTGTGGGTGGGAACCCTGCAAGGAGATCCTCCTGCCCCCTCGATGGTCGCCAAAGACTCCGCCAGGAGCTGTCCTGCCTGCCACTCCCCACTAGCTGACCTTGAAGCACTCACCGGTCTCGGGTGTTAAGGGCACTTCAGACCGAGAGACTGGAGTGTCCACAGGGCGTCTCGGTTCATAGCCAGGAGTGGCCAGTCTCCGTGGGGGTGGGAAGGGGGGCCGTCCTGTGCACTGTGAGGGGTTTAGCACCCTCCCTGGCCTCCACCCGCCAGAGGGGGTCCCATTTCTGTGCCTCCCGCCCTGCCCAGCTGCTC